GCTCAGGTGAGTTCCTATCTAGCAGTGCATTTCAAAGCTCAGAAGAATTGAATGACTCTTCTCTTTGCTGGCTTCTGAAATTTTCCCCTACAAGGTTAGGGAATAAGGGAATATAGAAAGATATCTATATACTCACTTATTCTAAGGTCAGAAGTCACTGGTCATGTAATCAATGACTATTTTTTTCCTCCTGACTGGATTGAGGACACTTTAAATATCTAATCTTTAAAGGCTCCAGTCTGTGCTGAATCTACCATTTCCTGGATAAGCTCTTTCTATATCTATTTATCCTCACAGCTAGTAAAATGCCTCTTATGTCAAGGTTGGATTTGTAAAGCTGTTTCTTGCTTCTGAATTGTTTTCATTATTTCTCTCTTTCATTTTAATCTTTAGAAGCCAGTATTGTATGCTAGAATAACATTTAAAAATGAAATACTGGAAGGCAGGGAATACAATTAGTAAACTTATTCTCAATATCTGCATCCTGAACTTTTAGAATAACTAATATTCATTGTTTTCTTATGGCCTTCTTTTGTTGTTTCCTGCAGTGCTTTACTAGTTCTTGAGCAGGTCTTCCAACTCTGTCTTTCACAGACCACGTAAGTACTAGTCCTTAGATGATGCATAAACGTAGCCACACCAGAGGTCCTTCTAGCCTCAAAGCTTCTTCCCAGCAGTGTCCAAAACAGATGTTTGGAGACAGTGATTTAAAATAAAACAGAACTTATCTCCTCCTTGGCTGTTAGCCAGACCACCAATGTGTGTCTGCACAGATGTGAAAACAAGCAAATAGAATTTGGAAATCATTTTGTGACTAGGTCTGGTGTAAGGTTATTTTGTAAGTGGGCGCATACAGAACCATGCAATCCCATATAGCCTGAATGAAATCTTCATGATGAACAGCCTAGGTCTTATGTACTCATGGTGTATGAACCAAATGAAATAAGAAATTGTACCCGCTTTTGTTTTTTTTTTCTTTAACAGATAAAACTAAGCTAAGTACACACATTCTCCTTTCACTTCAAAGGAGAAAAAATGCAAAGGAAAAGCAGCATGTTCAGTAGTAGCAAGAGAAAAGAAGAAAGAATGAGAAGGCTTCTGCTTTAAGTGTTTTGTTTCTCATTGGGTTGTTGTCTGTCTTCTTAGAACAATTGAACACATTTTATTGACTTTATTTGATTTCTAAATGGAGGAAGATTATGCAAAAGGCAGCACAACATTGCCTGCTGATTGTGTATATATAACCACAAATTTGTTATTAGACGTTTCAAGTATTTTGTTTTGAGCTTAGTGCTGTTAAATACATATGATTATTGTCACATTTATGCAAACCTTTTTTCTACCTTTAGGGTAACAAATTTTCTATTTTTATAAGATAATCTTCACATGTATACTCCACAGTATGGAACAGTGGGGGGAGGGGAAAAAGCAACTTCTAAAAGCATCTTGCCATCATCAAATAGCCAGGCACACAAATTCAGCCACACTGATGTGCAAGGACAAACAGGTTTCAAATAGGCTTGCTAACATATATGTGTGACAGGGCTGTTGAAAATACAAAGGGAAAGTTAGGGAAATGAGGAGAGTGCTTTTTGTCTGAACTGTCTGAATTGCACATCAGAGAACTCTGTGTGAATCCAACCAGAAAACCGGAATGAGTGATGACTAAACACAAAATGATTTGCAGCACCCCAAATATAGACTGGAATCATCAGACTTCTTAAATCACTGCTGTATTTGTGCCGATTAGGTTGGTCTGAGATACAGAACCCGAGCTTGTTCTTTTCAGCAGCTGTGAAGAGGATATTTGAGGATATTCTCTTTCTCTGCTCTTGAAGGGTAGGACAAAAGTCGTGTAGCTGGGAGCTGGATGCTAAGGGTGGCAGGGGTCTGAAAAGAGAAAGAAACAGCTTATGTGATGCAGAAGCCATAATGCCACACTGCAGTAAAACATAGCTTAGCGCGTTAGCGAAACTGTATTTATAGAAAGCATCAGCACGCAGCTATGGTCACATGTCTGAAGGTGGCCTTTCATCTCCTTGTAAATATTTTTCAAATAAGATAGAGGGGTGGGAGATGGAAGAAATCTCAGATGGTGGTGTTAAATTTCTGCAACGCTGGAATTTCAGTACCTGCTGCAGAGGATGTAAGAGGCATCTAGTCCTTACCTCTCAAACTGAAATACCAAAACTCGCTCTCCTGAAACTCTTGCCAGCTTTCACGCCCCCCCACCCACCCCCACAGCCTCACCACTACCGTCAGCATTTGTTATGCCATTTTGCTTCATTGCTCACTTGCTAAATATAAGCCTATGATTTTCTTTCTTCTGAGAGCTCTGCTGTGCTATAAGCACTGAATTCTGACAGTTCCCCCACTTCAATTCAGCAAAAGCTATGGGTTGCTTACAAGGGGATATAAGTCCATCTTAGGTGAAATGTTGGCTCCTATGACCAGGAAAGCTCCTCTGATGACCTGTGCAGAGTGACATCTGCCAGTGATGACCTCTTAACTTCAACAGAGCCTCTCCTTCAGGAAAAGAAGTTCGTCCTCCATGCTTAGGTTCCCTGGTTGTTCAGTTATGACCTACTTGTTTCTGACATATACATTGGCTTTTGAGGCAGAGCTGACTTCTGCTCAACCTCTAGGCATTGTTGAGCACAAAGAGCCCTGCATCTCCAGTTTATGCCTGATGCTATGGCAGCCAGAGGTGTTTGTGGTGTTTTTGCCCACCTTTTGTCTGGGAAGTGGGAGACCCTTCTGTTCTTGTATCTGCAGTTCTTAGCCTCAAAGAAATGCCCCAGTTATCAGGCTAGAGCCCTGTCTGCCCACCTGTGGGGAAGATGAGCTGGCAGTGGGCAAGCAATGCAACTAGTACATGGTCTTTTGAGGTCAGCTTATGTTTTGTGAACTTGTATCAGTACTACCTACATTCAGGAAGGAGCTTAAGGTAAAGTGAAATGGATACCTGGGAAGAACACCGGAAGGTCTCTAGAGTAGCATATTGTTCCAAGAAGAGTAAACTGTGACATCAGGTTATGTTGCTTAGGACTTTCTGATCTTTAAAGCTTCCAAGGACAGAGCTTTTACAGCCTGTTGAATGTGGTTCAGTGTTTGGCTGTCCTCACAATTAAAAAAAAAATAATTTTTGCTCACGTCCATTTTGTGCCTCTTGTTTCTGTTTATGCATGATATCTTCTTACCATGCACTACTTTGAATGACTGTTACTCTTTGATATCTTTGTCAGTGACATAGATGATGGGATCTAGTGTTCCCTCAGCAAGTTTGTGGGTGATGCCAAGCTGAGTGGTGCGATTCATATGCCAAAAGGAAGTGATAACAATCCAAAGGGAGGATGAACAAGCTTGAAAAGGTGGGCCAATGTAATAAGGTTCAACAAAGGCCAAGTGCAAGGTGTTGCACTTCCGTCAGGGCAATCCCAGGTATAACTACACTGTGAGAATAGCTTCTTGAGTGCAGCCCTGTTGAGGACTTCAGGGTCCTGATAGATGAAAAACTTAACACGTGCCAGCAATGAGCACTTGCAGCGCAGAAGGTCAACACTGTCTTGGGCTGTGTAAAAAGAAGGTGGCCAACAATGCAAGGGAGGTGATTATCCCCCTGTTCTCTGCCCTCATGAGTCTGGACTACTGTCCCTGCCTTGTGTGAAGGTGTCTGCTGCCATTGCCTATCCTAGCTCCTGCTGTGAATCCTCTGAGGACAGGGTGGTGGTGGGATGCCCAAGACATCTACAAAGAATGCTGGAGAGCTTCTCAGCACTATGGCCTTCAGGGCTAGTTCACCACTTCAAGTTTCACCATGCTTACCTTACCGGTCGTTTTCAATACCAGCACTGGGTCATCCAGAGTTGTTAGGTTGAATACGTTCTGCCTGGGTAGCTGTCAACGTTTTCAGAAGTGCCTGAAGAATTAACAAGAAAGAAAATGCTTATTATTCTTAAATCTCCCTGTTTTGCATATTTATGTAATTGTACTTGTATAAATTTATACAATAGACTACAAAAGACCGTGCAAAAAAGAATAAAGAGGTAAAAAGAGTTTGCTAACCTCTGATTCTGATAGTAGTACATCTTGGTGTGGTGACAGATTGTTTATGTACAGGAAGGGACAGAACTCTACCCCCTTCTACTTTCACCCCCAGACAAAGATTGCACCTAGAACTAAGTGGATGAGATAGGACTACTAGACTTCCTTTCCTAGCTGTCCTAGATGTACTCTTTTCTTAGGATGAGCTTTTTTTGTCTGAGATGAACGCATCATGCTCATACTGCAGAGAGACAGATCATCCTCACAATCTCTACTTGTAGTTTTGAAATTCTGAGTGTGGAGATTATTGCCAAATTGTCAGGACAGATCAGCAGTGAGAGGTTATCCAGGAATCACCACAGGAACCTCAGGATACTTCAGGACAGTAGATTTAGTGTAGTCTGCAACATTTTTTTTGTCTGTTAAGACTGTATCAGATGCAATTCTGTAGCTCTGAGATTGACCTTACTGGCCTCAATGGGACTGTTTTATGACAAGGATTGTGGGATCAGATTCTTCAAGATGCTTGATAAATGATGCACGTCCATGTGAGAACTGGCTTTTTTAGCCATTCATGAATGTATGCATTTTGAAAGAGCAAAATTCTGCTTATGGTTTCTGAAGTAAAAGTGCAAATTTCCTGGCTACTTCTAAAAATATAATTCTCTCTTAACAACAAGATGCCAATTTGAAACAACTCATGTAATAACATCTAATTTTCAGAAAGGAATCGTTATCTTCGAGCTGTGTTACAGTTAACTGCAAATAATGAAGTAAAGCAGAAACAGAGGGAAATGCTCAAATTAATAAAAAATACATAAATCAGCAAGACCATATTTACAGCTAGCATTCTGATTGACTTTTTTTCCAACCTCTTCTCTTCCCCCTTTTGAATTCAAGTTTGAAAAAGATTGGGCTTCAGTATTAAGGACAAATCTGGTTTCTTTTTTTCTTAGTTCAGTTTCAAAGAGCAGAAGAGCCTGTATCCATTGTTTTGTAATCAAGTAACGCAATGCCTGGATGGAAGGATATGGTGATCTGCCACCAGCAAAAGGTGTGCAAAACTCTGAGAGTGAACCAAGTTACAGGACTTGTTTTAGGAGTATTCTTTACATCTGTGCTGTAGTGCTGCAAGTCTTCCTCGTGTAAGCTTTCTAAAAGAAGTTTTGTTGTTGTTGTTTTTTTTGTTTTTTTTTTTTTTTAAACCTGCAAAATCTGGATTTCAGTTACTTACAGTGTAAGGGTTGTTGAGCTAATTCAGAGTGGTTTGGCCACCAAGCTTGTGAAAGCTATCCAGTTTTCCAGTTAAAAGACAAGCAAACACCTAAGGCTAGAGTTCAGAACCATCTAGATGAGTGTTATGGCAGTTGTGCTACACAGGACACAGATGGTATGTCTACCTCCAATTTACAGATGAAGACCACCTGACTTTCTCTGCTACTTCCAGAATCTGACCCAAGTGTTGTCCTTCCCTTGGAGTACAACAGGAGAAGCAACAGGCTGATTCTGCTAGTGAAAACAACGTGTTGCACTGGATATATATATTGTGAAAGGCTGAAAATCAGTACTCAAATATTGAAGATATTCTGAGTGCTGTATTACATACTTCAAGGTAAGAGGATGGAATACAAAACCTTATCTTAAAGAAATTTGCATGTGTGGAAAAAACATGGCTACTTTCAATTTTTATGTCAAGTTTTTGACAAGAAGGCATAGTAAAGTGGAAATTTGTACTAGTATGGTATTCTTTGTGTGCAACAGGACTGCAATGTTTAGGCAGGTATGCTGACAGTGTCTAAGAAGCTGGTGGGTTGTAGACCTTGTCTTAATTTCCCTTTTCTTGAATGCGAGAGATCAGATGCCTACTAGACTGTCTGTAAAATGCAAGTGATGTAAAGGTGTAGGAGGGAAGCCTTTCTTCTTCAGCCTTACAAACTGGAATACAAAACTGAAGAAAACTTCTAGGATAGAGTATCCAAGCATCTCTGTGTAAAAAATGGCCATAAAGGATCAACAAAACACCATAGATGCTTTATGACAAGTTCAGTGCAAGCTGGTATATTTCTGACAAATTCTAATCTGTCACAACAGATTAAACAGCAGAAAAAGGATCAAAGCAATGCCGAATTCCTATTCTTTGCAAGTGTAGACAGTGGTGTATGGGAAGCACACTCCAAGCCTCTGAGAAGCAAGATGTGTTTCAGACTATCCTGAAGCTACAGGAACAGTTGACAAAAAAAAATTTTCAGTTATTCTGACTCTATCAAAGTCCAAGGCTTCAGAAGGAAATGACGAGGATCTCTGCTCTGTTTGAGATGGGAATAAGGGAATAAACATATTGTTCTGGTCCCCAAAGGTAAGTGGTGAAGCACAGTCCATCCACACAAAATAAATAACACTAAAATCAGAATGGGTCAATTCCTCCCCTTCCTCAAGGATATTACAAGTAAAAGACTATCTTAAGCATTTTTAAGAGGGACAATGTTGTTTCTGACAGACTTCTCAACATTCTTTAGAAGTTTCGGAATGATTATCTGTTTCAACTGTTTGTTATCTGTTTATTTTAGGAGAAATGAAGTAGTAAATGTGGCGTATTATTAAAAAAGTAAAAAATTCTTGAGAGGTAAAATAAGACACATTCTGTAATATGCTTGCTTATTAATCTTTTGGTCTTGTAGTCTCTTAAGCACATCAGCATTTCCAATTGCATATGCTGCTTTTGTCAAGTAAATGCTTCCTGGTCCTTGAATGAGTTGGATGACTGAAAGTACCATTCTTGAATGATTAACTTTCATAAACTTAAAGAAAAACACACATGCAATAAGTTACATTAATCCCATATCAGTAGTTTTTCTTATAGCTTGGACTCCATAGCTTGGTGTGGCAAGACGAGATTTCTCCTAAATAAGTTGGACTGAACTGGATCAGCCCTTTTCAGAATGTCTGAATTCTTGAATTTTCTGTCCAATTGGATTTGATAGTTCTTGTTGCTGGGTTTGGGTGAGTGTGGCTGATGTTTTGGTTCTGTTTTTTAAATCTTGGGGGAAAAATGTTAATCTTCAAGTAACTGAAAGTTTTGACATTTATAAGAGTTATAATGGAACTAATGAGACAGTCTTAACAAGGATCCTGCTTTGAGTTAATTGTCTAATTTGAAAACGAAGGGTTAATGGTTTTTTAAATTGATTCTTGAGTACATTTTGAAGATAGATGTGTCAGATTCTCTCATTATGTGTATCTGCAATAAGTTCTCCTCTAGTAGATAGGGGAGGTATATCTGCATGGTTTTGATCATTAAATTCTAATTAGATACTTGTAAAGGATCTGAGTTGGCATTCCTATTGCTTAATAGCACTGATTGCCCTGTCCACCCTAATTAATGAACAGCTTTCTTATAAGTAAATTAATAGAGGTAGTCCCCTTACCCAAAATTATTTCAGTCACTGTGTTGTAGTGCACTTCGTTAGAGAAATGTAAAAATGAAGCAGCATTTCAATTATCTATTATGCAGTATTTTGTTCACCTGTTCTTTTAAATGTTTGGGTTTTTTTGAGAGGACCCTGACGACTCCTTAACATTCCTGAGCATACATTTCTGTGAAATGTTGTTGTGCTTAACTGCACTGAGTGTCATTTTTAACTTCCCACTATATTACTAGGGAAAACAGAAGACAAATTCAGTTGTGTTCTGATTATTGTACAAGAAGTTTCTCTAATATAAATATTATGTGGTGTTAATCATAACTTTTCAGTTGTTCATCCCAAAAAACTGTCCCTTTTGAAATAAGTGGATCCGTGGGTTTGTGGTTTATTTAACACAAGACATGTAAAAGTGAAACTATCCCCTGGAACATGAAGAGTAGAGGGGGGCGAGGAGGGGAAGCCTTCTTGCCTCACTTGCTTTAAGAACTTTTTATTGGAATTCTATGAAATTTAAAAAGAAAAATGAAAAAAAACCAACCTCCTAGAACGTAGTTTATGTCAACTCGAATCTCAGCTTGCTGCGATAGCTGAGTTTACTATCACAGTATCAAGCTTACCCATTAATGACATGGAGAGTTTTTCTATAAACCTAAACATCTGTTTTTATTTTCTTGTTTTGAATCACAAGGTTACTAAGTGGTTGGGCTCCCTGTTTTGCTGGCAATTCAGGTTGAGTTTTCCAAGACAAGGTGAATCTTAAGAAACCACGGTCACATACATATATATGCCAAGAGGAGAAAAGTCAATGAGAAACTATGTTTACATGTTGCTTTCTTGTTACCGGTGAATGCCAGAAAAATTCGGTTTAGGGCCACTACATAAGCTTAGATGGCTTTGCCAAGGGGAGCGTTTAGTGTTCACTCTACTGCCTCTTCTGAGGAAGGTATTGAAATATGTCATTGAAGCAGTAGAAACTTTATAAAAGGGCATTAGGCATTCAAGTTAGAAATAATACAGAGTCTCACATTTCTGGACTTCTTTCGAAGATGCTTGCAATCATAATTAGATTAACACTGAATTTAGAAAGAAAATAGTCAAAATCTCCACCTGGAAGTGACCAGAAATGTGAGTCCTAAACACCAGAGCCACCCCAATTCCTTGTAATGTGTGCAAAGTGTGGATAAACATGGTCTTGAAACATGCTGTTCTCAATATTTTGGTGGAAATCTGGATTACAAAAGGTTGCCTGCAACAACAACCCTCAAAATTTAAGAGGAGCAAACAGCTTTGAGATAGTATAGAGAATCAGTTTCTAGAGAGGGAAAAAAAGAGAGTCTTAAAAGTTTACTGTATGTATTATGAATGTTCTGCAAAGGCAAATTTCTCCTTTGACTTCACCACCTCAATGGGTATCGCTGTGTTTGGAGGAATGTAGTTGATCTAAAGATCTTTTGGGAAACTTCTCTCAAGTGAACTCCATTACTCACAGAAACCTTTTAGTTGTGGTTACAGATACGACTTTTGTCTAGAATTACTTCAAATAATGGCACAAATTGTCATTCTATGCTATGATTGTCTTTTCAATAGTAAAATAAAATAGAAAGGATGAAATAATAATGACATAGAAGATTTCCCTTTAATGTTACTGGTTTATTTTTTATGTGTTCATTAACTGGTTGGTAGAGTAGCCTTGTCAGGAAAATGTAGATTCAAAGTTTTGGTCTTATGAACTGGAAAATAAACAAGAACATAGAATATTGTAACAATACTTCACAAAATGATATTTTTAAATGAAATACTGAGGCATAAGGTTCAGTGATAAGGGTTTTTATTGCAATGTTTATGTTGTATAGGAGAGTGCAGAAAATGAGTGGTAGAATAAATGATGTGCATATCAACTGAGAAGTGCATCTTCTTCTGGTAGGATACAATCAAACTTTATATCTAGTAGTCTAGGAAGACTTCATCTATTTGCTTATTTATCTGAAGATATCCCCAGAAATACTACTGTTCTGAGTAATAAGCACTAGAGAACCAAAATGTAAGTGTATTGATTTGATCACTTGTAATTTTTGGTTGATATTATTGCTGTTATAAGTCTGTATCATTTGAGTAAACTGAATGAACCTGATGCTTCTCCCTTGATCTTGGGGAACTAGAAAATGTAGGGGAGATGGTGGCAGCTGAGCTACAATTCATTCCTTCAGTTGCTGTATGACCTGATCCTCGTTTCCTCAATAGCAACAAGAACAAGTAGCTCTTGTTCTTTTATACAAGTTTAATTTTATTTTACTCTTTCTTCCTCGAAATTGAAGGCTCTATTTTCTTTGTTGAGTAGAAGTTGAATAGAACTCCTTGGAGTTTGTGGTTCTTGTTTTGCAGATGACTGCTAGATACAGCAGTGAGAAATCAATCACTTTGTTCTTTGCCATCTTTCATCTTCTTGCATTACTTATCCAATTTATCACAGTCACATTGACATTGTCCCTCTGAGTATTTTACTGTTTCTTCATCTTCGTGTCATGTGTCATTTTTTTTAAATAATTTTTGTCAGAATGTTTTATATGTTTTCTTTAAAATCATCAAGGAAAACACTGAAATGAGACCATTTAAGTTACATAGGTGCTTTGAATGGAAGTGCTTTTCCTGATCTGGCAATAATCTTAACTAAAATGCTTTGCTGCTACTAGCTATGCATTTTGTCTACACTGTAATCTCCCAAATTGATGTTCTCATCTGGGTGAAATTCAGATAAAAACACTCGTTTCTTCTCCTCCATCTGATCTCTGGATTCCGTATAATACTAACAGAGCCCCTCAAGTCAGAATGTTTGATTCCTTAAGTTCTTGTGCCTGCCCCTTTAACACTAATATGCTTACCTGTCTTTCACAGTGAATGGTGGTTGTTAGACATGCTGGTCTGAACAAGATATAACCTGACTAGTATCTGAAATCTGATTAATCTCAAAAGTATGCAACAGTGTTTTTTTTCTTCAGACTTGAAGTAGGATCTAATACATCCAAGTGCTGCTAAGAGAATATGCAGTAAAACATTTTCATTTGGTTGAATAATGCATCTTTTAGTTTTTCATTATTCTGTAGAGGTCTAAAATGGCAAGTGGCTTTTAATAGCATAAAGAGTTAGAAGCAGAAAAGGCTTAATTATTTTTACAATTGCTGCTTCCACTTCTTAGTCTAACTGCTCAATGTTCAATGTCGTTAACTTTACAGTTTTACAGCACTTACTTGATAATTATTATATAGGTGACTCTGAAAGTAATGCCTCCTAATTATTTCCATGGAAATTACAACAGATACAAAAAGCATAAGAATATCATTTGATAGAGCAAATTCTGAGCTACAAAATACAATTTTTTCATCACAGTCATCACTGTTAGCTGTGCACTTGTGCTAGCAATGAACAAGAGCCTGTATGCTACACTCATTTAAAAAAATAAAGTCTGCACAAGTGGCTGTGAACCACTGTTTCACAACTGCTATGATGGTGTTTCTAGGCAAGTGTTGTCCATGCAGTCCTCCTTTCATCAGCCTGAAGAGATAAAAGTTAAAAGGTGTCAAATCTGGACTAGGTGCTGGATGTGGTAGGACAGTCCAGCCCAGACTGACAGTGTGTTCTATGGTCTTCAAACTGGTCTGTGGCCTGGTATTACAGTGTTGCAAGAAAAAGGTTGTCGTTTTCTCTGCCCTAACTCTGTAAGTTCAAGCCTTCAGCTCAGTCAGCATTATAGTGGTCAGAGTTGACGATTTGTCTGGGTTCCAGGAAATCCAGAAGGATCACACCTTTCCTACCCCAAAAGGCAGCACTCTTCACTTTAGTCGCTGAATGTTGCGTCTTGAAGTTTTTCTTCACTTCTTGCCATTCCGTTGCTATTGACTGCTGTTTTGAATCTGGCTTGTAATGGTGACACCATGTCTTATCACTGGTAATTTATCACAGAGTTATGATTCAGTCTAGGGAACTGTCATTTTCAGTCTTATGTTGGTTCAATAAGTCCTGACAGACTTGCATTCAATGTTTTTTGTTTGAGCATTTGTGGGATCCAAATGGCACAAATTTTGCAATATTACAACATAGCCACCATTGTTTCCAATGCATTGAATCTGATATTCTGCTCTTCACCCAGTTTTCTGATCACAGTCCACTCCTTCACATAGACAAGATGATTGAGATACTTTTCATTTTGTGGTGTGACAATTATGCATGG